GGGGTCAATCTATATATCCTGCAGCGTTAGGAAGACCTATGCAAAAATTCCCACAGACTCCTTTAACTGGCCTAGGATGCTAGGGGTCAATCTATTCACCTCCCTCTTTAGGTCTCAGTTCCTTTATCTTGAAAACATAAATAAACCATAGACCACATTATTTGACTCATTAAATAATATTTATAGTATTTAAAACGACCATCTTGTAACATTTAAAAATTGTGGACATTTAGATGTTTTTGATATACATTTTACCTTCTTTAAAAGATAATAAACTCCTCAAGGGCAAGTACTATTGTTTATTTACTGCTGTGTTTCTTTTAAAGGTAGTACTATAGCTAATTATTTCTCAATTCCAATGTGAGATGACCCACTTCATCATAATTATAATAACCATTACAATGCCAATAATAATCAGGCACTTACTATGTGCCAGACATTGTGCTCTCACATGGTTTTTCTAAGCCTCCCAGTGATCTGGTCAGGTTCCTATTATTATCCTTATTTTATAGAATAAACGAAGGCCCAGGGAATGGTACCAACTTTTCTAAGGACATTAATTACTTTCTAATAGAGCCGGGTTTCAAATTTATTTCAATCTAACTCTAAAGCTCATTCCATTTCTACTAAAATAGGCTTCCTGAAACCATCTCAGAAGAAAAGTCTAGACCGGGCACAGTGGTTCAAGCCTGTCATCCTAACACTTTGGGAGACCAAGGGGCAAGGATCACTGGAGCCCAGAAGTTCAAGACCAGCCTAGGTAACAAAATGAGACCCCATCTCTACAAAAAATTTTTTAAACAATCAGCAGGTTGTGGTGGCGTGCACCTGCAGTCCCAGCTACTCCAGAGGCTGAGGTGGGATGGTTGTGTAAGCCCAGGAATTAGAGGTTTCAGTAAGCTATGGTTGTGCCACCGCACTCTTGTCACCCTGGGTGACAGAGACCTTGTCTAAAAAAAGTCCACATTTCTGCCAGGCGCAGTGGCTCACGCCTGTAATCCCAGCATTTTCAGAGGCCGAGGCGGGCGGATCACAAAGTCAGGAGATCGAGACCATCCTGGCTAACACGGTGAAACCCCGTCTCTCCTAAAAATACAAAAAAATTAGTCGGGCATGGTGGCACATGCCTGTAGTCCCAGCTACTCAGGAGGCTGAGGCAGGAGAATGGTGTGAACCTGGGAGGCGGAGCTTGCAGTAAGCCGAGATCATGCCACTGCACTCCAGCCTGGACAACAGAGCAATACTCCGTCTCAAAAAAAAAAAAAAAGGCCACGTTTCTATCCCTCATGATTAAAAAGATTAACAACAAAAAGGCTTTATGACATAAATCAGATATTCCCTATACGGGTGAGCAGTACAAATAAATAAGAGCTCCAGTGAAGAGCTAAGAGCAAAGGACCATGAAAAATAACCATGAACAACATGAGCCCCAAAACAGAAATGACGCTCAAGTGAAGGCAGGTGTCCCAGATGGCACCACAAGAACAAAAGCCTGACATCTCTGACCAGCACGGAAAATGTTTAGAAAAAGGAAAGATGACTAGTGACAAAGTGCTCCAAATAAAGAAAATTCATGAAAAATAGTAATTACAGAGGAAAAGGTGCTTTTGATACACTTTTAAGTCAATTTCATTCAACACCTTTGAAAATAGAGTGGAAGAAACCAAAATGTACTGGAAGTACTGAGGTATCTTCACAGTATCCTCAGATCAGAGACCATAAAACAACCAACGTCAGATAAGACACATGACAAGTTAGGGGCTATAGGGACAAAAGATATGATCCCAGTTCTACATTTCATTTTCTACTAGTGAGAACAGATTTAAAGTCATACACCATAGGATGGAATGTGGGAAAAAGTGGCTGGAATTTGTGCCAAAGCTGCTACATAAACAGATAAAAATTCCAGGAGATCCTAAGTTTATGATTTTGCTCCAGGGGTTCAAATCATGGAACTCCTACTGCAAGGACAAGAATTTTTTTGTAAAGGGAAACTGCAAAACACAGTCAAGATACCTCTGTACAACTACTGGAATCCTAAGTATATACAAGTTTTTTCTATAATAGAAAAGTTACAGATTTAAAGCTTCAGCTCAATTTAGATAAATCATAAATACTACAGATATGAATATTTTTTAACAGTAAATCTAATGTATAATATAAATTTAAAATGGAAAGATAAACCAAATACATAATATTTGACCAACTAAAATATTTGCATGAATAAGAAAAAACATCTTAAGAAAGTCACTGAGTCCGTAATCAAGTGCCATTATGTGAAACCTTTTTCTGACATATGTGAGAAACATGTCATGTCCCATCTGTACCAGCCCCTGAACTCCAGCCATGATTTCCAAAACAGGAGTGGTGGGAAGCACCCAGTCCTCCTCATCTACTACCTCTTTAAAGTCACAGAAAGCAGAATGTCTTTAGAGCTACATAAGGAGAAATCTGAATACTGGTTGTAATGCTTGCTAATTTTATGACAAGTTACCTGGCCACCTTGCCGCTTAGCTTCCTGATCTAATAAATGGGCATAAGGGATGCAACACCAATGTCTGTTACACAAGATTTATTGGGATTACGGATGTATCAGAAAATATCAGAAAGAGACTAGTACAGGGTCTACCCTCCTAGTGCTGGGCACGTGTGTGCTCCAAAATAGTTCCCTACTCTAGGCACCTAGAGGAGGTAGAGCTAATTAAAGCAGTGCCTTTTGCACGGTAACTAAGGGAGATTAGATAGGATGTGGGTAAATACTAAGTAGCCAATTTTTCTGGATTCTGCTCCTCTTGGTGGACAGAAAACTTCCAGAGACCAAGAGATATGATAGAGAATATGGCTCATCTCCACTTTTTAAGGTTTAATTATATATTAAAAGCTTGGACATGCATTGTTTTAATAATTGTTTTGATGACATAGCATCAGAAACAAACATATCAGTAAACATTATCAGTCATGTGTATTATCAATCAACACCATAATGCACTGGTAAGAAAAAACATAATGAGACATATCCAGATTCCTTTTTTGTGATATCCCTATCCAGGGTTCAGAAGTCCCAGAGAGTAAGGCAGTGACTGAGAGGGAAGAGGGGAAGGGGTCACTGGTGGATGGGTCCTTATATTTCTTTCAAGACGATTTTATTTACCAAGTCTGACCAGGGTATAAACTTTTGAGTTATAAACATAG